AAAATAATAAAAAATCTTAAAAAAATATTAGAATGATTAAAAATATATTTAAAATACATCTCAATTAAATCTTAATATAATCCTAGTTAAAATCCTATTGGACTTCATTCAAACTTTAGGCCGAAAATTAACTAAATCTTAAATCTTAAACAAATCCTAATAAAATCCTAAATCCTAAATCAAATCCTAAATCCTAAATTAAATCCTAAATCTTAAACCAAATCCTAACCAAATCCTAAGCCTAAATCAAATCTTAACCAAATCCTAACCAAATCCTAAGCCTAAATCAAATCTTAACCAAATCCTAATCTTAAATCAAATCCTAACCAAATCCTAAATCTTAAACCCTAAACCAAACCCTAACCAAATCCTAGTTATTTCTATAACAAATTTAAACTTCAATAATTAATAAATGAATCATTGATCTTAACTCAAATTTTACACACTTCTTAAAAATTAAGTTAAAAACAAGCAAAAAAATTTTTAAAATGATCAAAATTATCCAATAGATGATAATCTCAAAAATGTGCTCGGGTATTGGCCAGCCTCCTTTTCCAACCTTGATGTCAATCTCCTAGAGTCAATATCTCTCATTTTCACAATTTGATTCATCTCAAATTTTTTATATACATAGAAAAAAAATTACATTATCTTTATCCATAAATTTCACTCCAATTCAACTAGTAGATTGCAAGAAATCTTAAAAATCCTCATTGGAATTAAAATTCTATTTTCTGACACCTTGACCTACTTAAACCTCAATAACCCTCAATTTAGCTGTTTCATCAAGCTAAGATTTACAACACATATTAAGCACAACTATGACCATTAATCCACAAAATTTCTTATATAGATCTTTTACAAAACTCTTGAAATCACTAGAAATATTAAACCTATTCTATTTCACAAAATTCAAGTCATCAAAATACAAATTTGACTTTATAAAGCTCTTACAAAGTCATTATGAATCCAAATCATCCAAAACCAATGCTTATAAAAACCTTATCTAATCTGCTATCAAATCCCACTCTCTAATCTACAAAAGAACCTCCAAATTGCTATAGGTGCTTGGTTTTGTGCCTCAAGGTTTGATTTTGATCCAAGTTGATAACCGGCCCTCCTTAGGTATCAACATCTAATTTTTTTAGGTAATTTTTATTAGAATTTACTCTTAACTTCTTTCTAAAGATGCCTATATCTTTATTTTTTTCAATCTACTTTATTTTGCTTTATTTATGGTCCTAAAAAATAAATAGAAGTCACCTTTCTAAAAAGGCAACATTGGTACCTTTTAGTTTTACTACCCTTTTGACTATTAATTATATTTTTAAGATAATTTTCTCTAATACTTTGAACTAAGATCTCTTACATTATAATAATTTCTACACTCTTTCACTTATTGGTTGTCTTACATCACGACAGCAAAACAAACTAATTATATAGCACACATCTAAAAAACTTGCCTTGCAAGTTAAGATATGTGTCTTGTAAAGTCAACACATTTTGGAGGTCCTATAGGACATTGCCACATAGCTCTTAGTTAAGAGTATATATGGAGGTAAGTATAAAGCCTTCTTCACTCTTATCAATGCCTTTTTAGTCCTTGGTCTTATTCCAAGTCTTTCTAGTCTTATTGTTTTTGGCAACAACCATTCTAGTTTAGCATTATATCACTTTTCAGTGATACAAGAATATATTGAGGATTTTCTTTCTTCAAGATTCATATCCTTGATACCTTCAAGAATAATATGTTCTTCCTCAAATAGATGGTGAGATACAATACATTTGGTATGACGACCTAGGTAGAAATTTTTGATGTTTGGTGATTTCATTGGAGGTAGAAACAATTCCTAATGATGTTACAAATGCTCTGTCTGAAGGAAGTTATGAAGGTTTCAATAATGATCAAATAACAGGGTGATCTTCCCGCCTTGGAATGGGACATTATCAATGGATAAGAAGACCTATCAACTACCTTCAAAGGGAACAAAGATCAAAGTATATGACAAATACAATTTGCCACATCTTAGACTTCCTCGACATATAATTACTGCTCCTTATGAAACTTGTTCCTAGAATGGGGGAATAATGTCACATATATATATATATATATATATATATATATATATATCTATTATAAGTATTATCTAAATAATATGAAAAAATAGAAGTAGATTAAAATAAGTAAAAGTAGATTAATTTTATAATACCTTCTAGAGAAGCTTCCTAAAAGCTTTTTAGACATTATTTTTACTTTACATGTGCTTAGTATTAATTGATAGGTTAAAAACTTGGTCAACAAGCTAACCACATGCCACATATGTTGATAGCTTATAAAACAAACTAACTATGTGGCGCCTATATAGAAAACTTGCCTAGCAAATTAAGATATGTATCATACAAAGTCAACATGTTTTTGGAGGTCTTATAGAATGTGGCTGCATAAGTCTTAGATAGATAGTATATATATATATATATATATATATATATATATATATATATATATATATAAAGGCAAGAATGAAGCCTTCGTCACTCTTGCCAATTTCTTTCTTGCTTCGAGTCTAGTTTCAAGAGTCTCTACTTTCTGTCTTTTGGCAATAGTCTTTCTAATTTTTTTTTAATATGCATACTTTGCTATTTCAATTTTATCATATTTCTTTGAGAGACTTTTACTTATCTATTTGCTTTCATCAAGTTCTTGTCTTTAACAAGAGGCAATAGTGAAGCCTTCTTCATTGTTGTCAATGCCTTTCTAATATTTAGTCTTGTTTTAAGACTTTTTAATCTTCTTATCTTTAGCAATAACCATTCGAGTTTGACTTTATATTACTTTTGAATGACACAAGAGTGTATTGAGCTTTTAATTCTTTAAGATTTATGTTCTTAATAATTAATTATGAAGTAAGATTTGAACCAAACCTTAAAGCACACAATCATATATCCACAACTAATATAGATTCCATTATTCATTGGATATTGAAGTTTAAAAGAAAACTTAAGAATGATTTTTTGAACATTGATTTTATAGGATTTAGAATTATAATAACTCTTTGAAAAATTAAAAATTTTGGATTGTTTTATGTGAATCTATTTTTTATAAAATATAAAAAAAGGTTATATCTTATTGAATTGTATAAGTTTTGTAATAGATCTAAGGATAAAATTTTGTAGGTTTATAAACTTAATTGTGTTTAATGTATATTGTAAAATTGAGCTTAATTGGATAGTGAGATCAAAATATTATGTTATATTAGTATTAACAAAGTGTTACAAACATACTAATTATGTAGAATAAGATTCTAAGAGTTTAAAGAAATGAAACAAAAGATCTTCACGTGATATTATAAATAAGAAGCTACAACAAGGCATAAGACCAAGACCAAAGGTGCAAGCTAAGCTATAAGGATTACATTGTTGAGATTCAAGATCTCTTTAGCCTTAACTCCTATATATACAAGGTGTAAAGAAGCTCCTTGAGAAGTTTCCTTGATGCTTGGAGATGAAGCAAGCCTCTAAGAACCTTTTAGGACCTCATAAAAGCTTCTTGAAATCTGCTAGAACTTATTATAGACTTCTTAAAAATCTTAAGAACCTCCTAAAATAATTTATGGCCCAATAGAATCTTTCAAAGATCTTCTAGAACCTTCTTGTAGTATATATATATATATATATATATTTATAATGCATCAACTATAATAATAAATTTCAGCAACACTAACTTTTATTCAAAATTAAGTACCATATATTTTTTTCTAAAATCATAAAAAATATATATATATATATATATATATATATATATTATTTAATTCATCACTTATTATTATTTTTACTAGTCAAATTATTTGTTTAAAAAATAGAATTGAAAAAATAGAAAAAATATTTTTCAACTGTAAAAATTCATATCAAGCTTATTAGAGCCCAATATGTTTTCTCTTGGGTTACCACTCATGCATAGCACAAATCCAGATTAACAATGAACATTTGCATTCAATATTTGCATCCTAATGTAATGTTTTCAAACAATAAGAAATTTAATCCCCATCCCAGATAATTAAATTCATTTGTTGTAGAAAATAGTATTGATCATTGAAAAAGTATTAATCATCAAAACAACAAAGTACGTTAAATATCCAGATTCTTGCTGGAGTGGGATCTCAAAATTTTGATAAATTATTGGGGATTATTCATTTTAGGGAGATCAATTATCCGGGGGACAAATGTACAGGAATTGAAGAGAAACAAAGAAGTCAACGATAAATGACTCTGAAGCTTCGCTGTATTCAAAAATCAAAAGTGACTGTGAGCCGAAATAGTCGGTAGATAGATGTGTCGGTAGAACGGTCGACGCGGGAGAATGGATCAGATCATCACGAATCGAAGTTGCAAGAGTGTGTCTGTTTTAGAGGTTGAGGTTCCTTAGTAAGTCAAAGCCGAGGCAGGGGCGTGGCGATCGGCGGAAATTGAATGGAGGAAGAACGATGTTGAGGATTTCGAGCAACCTAAACAGGAAGGGAGATCGAAAGCTCCCCTCCCCCTTCATTCAAGTCACGGCATCGTTGCGCGGTTCCAGAGCGAGTGTTGCAACTAAGAACTGCTTCCGGGACCGCTCTTTAGAAGCAACACCATTCACGCTGCGGCGATTCCCCGTCGCAATGTATCAGAGGACATCATCGCTTATCCTAGAATCACTCATAGAATCCCTCGAAATTTCTAGCGATTCGTTGAGCTGCAATTGTCCACCTGAACGGCAACTCTCCCACTGCAAAAGATAGGGCACAAATCACCCTGGCGTAGATTGAATCGAGTTGTCAATTATTTATGGGTTTCCACCCTAATCGCCACTGAAGCCCAAAATTCGAAACCCTAAAAGCCTCATCACGACTGTGCCTCGTTTTATACGGTTGCACACATCAGCACCCTAGGGCGGGGACACTGAGCTGCACCTCCATGCCTGCTGTGGGCGATTTGTGAGGTCATAGATACCTTACAGATTGCAGCAGGGGGAATGAGATATTATGTGATATTTGTCACTGCAAAATCCCTAATATCTGTCGACTAGCTCCCCTGCACACTGAAATCAGGATACTCAGATATTTCCTGCGCTCTGTACCTGACTTTTCATTTCGTCCTGTACTTGGTGACATGCTCTTGGATGGGGAATGTTTAAGGAGCTCCATTGCAACGCAGTGTCAGCATGATGTGCTAACGAGGAATCCGTTTCTGACTCAGCTGTGAAAACATTGTACCGGACCTAAGTCCGAGGCTAAAACTGTGCCGTGCACGCTTCTCGAAACATAATCTAGCTATTTATAGCTAAATACGGTTCGGTGAGTCCAGGCCTTGGTTGGGGTAGCTGCCTTTTTTAACTGCTGAGCCTGACTCTGGATCTCATTTCTCACCGTTGTGACAGAGTTTCAAGAGTGTGTCTGTTCTTGAAGTTGAAGCATTCGAGACCACAGTCTGGCTATCCAAGTCGGTCCTCGTGAAACTCCTCCGATTTGGGTTGCGCAGTTCCGTGTGGCGTTGTTGGTTTTTTTCATTTTTAAAATCTTTAGGGGAGATTGTATATTTAAGTTGTGGTGCCTGTGTAGAGGTGCGGGTTGGTTGTGGTTTACGGAGCGTGTTTTACAGTAAATTTAGAGGCAGTGCTTGGCTTTGGATACTTTTGTCGGAATACTCAGATTAATGTCCTTGCAAGAGCAAGCCACTCGGCGGAGTGGGGTAAAGCAGGATGACGCTTTTAAGATCGATGAGGTGAATTTGTTCCAGCGCTTGGGTCTTGACACCTTCATCAAGCTCTCCACCAATTTTTACGCACGGTACGTATCACGTGTGGTACGGATTTGTTAACAGACAAAAGGAACTCTTTCGACGATTCGAGTAGTTCAACAAAATTTGAAGTGTCGCCCTATGATTTTCTTACATTAGTGTCACCCTAAGCAATCAAGTATATCCCGTAGATTCTGGGTGAAACTGTCTGTTCTGCGCAACGCGGTTGCTTTATAGGTTTTACCCTACGTCCCGTGTAACCAAGAAGAGTTTGTCGATGTAGGGTTTATGACGACGACCAGGAGTGGTTTCGCAAAATATTTTCAAGTTCCACCAAAGAGGACGCAATTAGAAACCAATACGAGTTTTTTGTTCAACGTATGGGAGGGCCCCCCTTGTATTCACAACGGAAAGGTACATGAATTTTTTCTCGTCGCAGTCAAGGAGAAATTTTATGCAATGTTCTCGACCTAGTTTATCTTCGTAGTTCGATTCTTGTACCCCATGAATTGCTGTCCTCTTACCCTATGCTACCCATTTTGAGACTTGTGTTATGACTTCGTGCTAAAGGAACTGAATTGCTTGAGTACATACCCGAAGGAGCCTTGAGGCAGAAATTTAAATTTCCATTTTTGGAGCAATTGGTTATCTATGTGTTTCAGTATTTTTGACGTTGTCAAGAACCATGCCCTCATTTCGCTTCCTCTATTCAGGTCATCCTGCTTTGATTGGACGGCATGGTCCTTTTACGTTCGATGAACAAGGAGCCGTGCGTTGGTTAGAGCATATGCAAGCTGCATTGAACGACACTCCTGAAATTGATGCCGATTCAAAGAAGCGCATGTTTGACTTTTTTAAGTAAGTGCTCACTCGGCTTGTAGTTGCTGGTCTTTCTCGCTCTCCTTCCTCCCCGTCGATGTGAGTGTGCGTGAGTGTTTGTGATGGAATTTTAAGTCCGTTCTTTATTGTTAAGGGCAGAAATGTGTTGGTGTTGAAAATATTCAACATTTTTCATCATATTCAGCTCTGCGAGATGCTTACTGGTGCTAAATTCAGGGTTTTGGGTAGTCCATCTTATCAGTTTGTCTACAGCTATTGAAACTTTTCCATTACTTTTCTCTTGTCGGATTGCAGTCTCACTTGAATGTTAAACTATTCATAATCTGAATCAGGAATCGAGTCGCCTGGTGTATGTGTGTCTCAAGTTGTTTTGTGCTGCTCATATGAAATTTTTATTGTGTAATAGATTACATTCTCGCTTCCCAGTTATTCTTATCTGATCCTTTATCCATGATTCAGACAATTCCAAGAGATGAATACATTGTCGTATGCTTGCCCTTATCTCTAGTGCTTACCTTACGAATCGCGTGTTACGCAGACACACGGCCTATTTCTTGGTGGCAGGGAAGGAGCTCATGAATCGCCGCAATGCCATGTGATCATGTCCAGACGTCTTTGCTCTCTGCATTTTGAACTATCAGCAAGGTTACAAACGATGGTTGTATATCCGAATTAGAAGTCATTTGAGATGGAGCATATGGTAAAGCAAGTTAGATTCTACATGTTATCCACTTTCTAATTCGATTCTACAGTTGTTAGTATTTTAGAGTTACGTATTAACTCCCAAACAAACCAATCGTATCAGCCTTGGGAACTACGAGAAGTCATTGGATGGAGGCAGATTTTTAGAATGCAGTGTTCGTCTTCTTTATCGTGCTGTTTGATGGAGGGAAAGGCCACTGATGAACCTTGTAATGATGCATTGGCCACAGTCAACCGTGACTGATTTGCAGTGTCATCTCATTCTTATAGTGACTAGTGGTATTCGCAAACTGCAAATCGTTCACTGCAAATCGTTCACTGCTTTGCAGAGGCGAGCATCAGTCGACATCGAATGTAGGAAAGTGAAGCTTGTCAGCTTTAACGCTGGATCCGCTATGTTTTCAGAAAGTATTCTATTTTTATGAGAATGAAAATCTTCAACATGATCCACCATCCTTGCAACTAATTGTTTTAGTGGTAACAAGGGGAAAAAAAAGTACATGATTTTTCTCATTCCTTCTAAAAATTATCGTCAGAATTATCAAATACCAACAATGAAGTTGTACTGTTCAGTTATCATACAGCTTCTTGGTTAAGTTAAAACAGCATGTGTTGGTGGACCGACGAATCTTTTTCTTCTAAACTCATGAGAACGTCCTTTAAAATTAACGATAATAATAAAAATCTCACTATAATATGTGTTCTAACACATAGCGTGGCATGTTTCTAAAATGACAATTTTGTTTAATAAAAAAAACGTTTATTTGCAACCAAATGTCACACCTATGAGCCCGTGTCAACCATATTCTCTGAGGATTCGTTATTCTTCCGTGCACTACATCGAGATGCTCTTGGCATGGAGATCGATCATCCAGCAGAACCACGGTATTATTGCCAGTTGCAAGTACCAATAGCGGCATAGGTGGGTATGGAACAGCAGACCTCTTTCTCTTCTTTGCTTATTTTCTTTGGCATTGTTGAAGAGGATGACGCATGTCGATATGCACTTTGTTAGTTACAATTTACGGCCTTGACTTTTACTTATCTAAACTCTTAGGCCACACTGTACTTGAAATCTCAAGTACAAGAACATGTTGGGGTACTACACGCTGGTATGCAGGTAAACTAACACAAGTATTAAATCTTAGTTCAACTCCATCTGCAGGGCAGCTTTCCGGTGGAAAATCTCCTTCATCCTTCAACAGCTGTAAACCAGACTTCTAACACAAACTGGGTTTGTACGCATTCACCAAAGTGATCATTCATGTTATATATTCCATGTGTGGTGGATGTCTCTGTTTGAATTTTCTCAGCTCCGGATCGCATCTGTCGAGCCATAGTTTGCAACCCACAAGGCGCTGCCAGTAGCAACAGAAACCCGCAAATCTTACTGAACAAAACACTGCGGTAAGCAACAGAAACCCGCAAATCTTACTAAACAATACACTGCGGTAAACAGAAACCCGCAAATCTTACTAAACAAGACACTGCTGTAGGCAACACTGAGGTGTTGAAAAATTGGTACATGTCGAAATGATAAACAAGAAGCTACTCATGCCGAGTGTCTACTACGTTTGAGCTTCAAACAATTTCACTCGCCTGACAATCCTTATAATGTCGCTCCTATTGAGAAACTCCACTCACCTAGGAATCCCAGAAACAACGTTAGATTCAAACAAACACAATGCCAAAGTGTACAAACACTCTCAATCTCTCTCTTCACATCCCACTCAGTTCATCTGACTCTAGGTTGACGAGGAATGAGCGTCCAGTCCATCTGACCCTAGGTTGACGAGGAATGAGCATCCACCCTCCAACTGACCCTAGGTTGAGGAGGAATGAGCATTCAACCCCCAAGCTCCCCTAGGGGTGCGTCATACTGAACCCTTATACCCTTTGAGGAGGTCAATGTACTAATTGATGATGGTGGCTACTCTTTTGCAAACCTTCTTTTGAAAAGTGAAATTTATTCCTATATTCTCTTTGAGTGCACTCGGCACAATTTGGCACTCTCCACCTCAGGCAACATGAGGGCTCTCTTTCATGCTTGGCCCTATTTCACTTTTGAAATTTCAAGATAATCATAATATAAATATTGAGATAGAATGCTAACCCTTCTCGTATTCTTTGTGCATTTCATCCCTAACTTTTTCTATAGTTTCTCTCAACAAGCAATTTTGGAAATCTGTATCTTTCGATTCGGATTGCAAGAGCTTACATTCCTACGAGACTTACCTCAGCTATTGAATTCCTTAACTGAGACCCACCTCGCCTCACTACTCTTCCTTACCTTATGGAAGTGATTTATAGTCATCCAACGGAAAATCCATTTATGAAAAGTTGACCGTTTACGCCTCCTCACTCAAGGCCTTGTGTCCGCCTCATACAAGTTCTTTAAGATTGTTCTCTATGGAGTCTCCTCAAATTAGAATCTTTCCAATGCTCTTTATACTTTTGAAATATTTATACCTTTATTGAATCTGTTCCAAATTTTGAAGCCTCCTCAATTCCTTTCTTCTGTGTTCCATAGGATTTCCTCTGCAATCCTCCCCCTCTCACTTTGAATGAAGATGTCCTCATCTTTAGGTCCACCACAAAGCTCTTTCTATTGCTAGTTGAAGTCCTCAGTTCTTTAACTGCTTCTACATGGATCTCCTTGGTCTATACTTATCCACTTTCTTGTCGAAAGCGATTACTAAGCCCTACACATTTCTCAGATTATGTTTATTAATCCATTGAAACTCGTGTAGCAGATAACCTTTACAGGTGCATAGATATTGCACTCCTTTGACATCAATTCGTTTCTAGTCAAATATTGTCGATACTTAATCCATGGTTTTTTTCCATACCTCCTCTTGAAGTGAAATTCGTGCCTTTTCTTTGTGAAACTTCTTTTCATTGTCTATAAACTTTTTGAAGACACTAACACAAAAAATTGGATGCTACTTCAATCTTTTCAAGACGTCTAGCATGTAGATATTTTTATGCAGTATTTGCTCAATTACGTAGGACCTTGCCCATTTTTGAGTCCACTTAGGAATGAAGTGTGCATGGTAAGTGAAGTTGTTTGTGTTAAACCATACTCTATCTCTCTTTTTGTACTACACATCTCTCCAATGCTTATCAGCCTACTTCTTGTATCTACTAGCGATACTCATGATGACTTTCTTTTGTGCCATTCACTTTGTCTCTTCTCTCGAGTAGAACCTAGAAGTAATTTCATTACTTTGTCTAACTCCAATCAAGTCAATTGGCCTAAGTGGATCAAAATCATGAGCCACTTGAAATTGTGTATTGTGTAGAGACTCATTTTGGAGTGTATTATAACTAAACTTTGCTATAGGCAGCCACTTGATTCTATCCGTATTGTCGCTTGATATATAATGTTTCAGGTATATTGAAAGAATTTCATTGATTCTTTCTATTTGGCCATTTCCTTGCAGATGCCAAGTTGTTGTGAAAATGATCTTAGATCTTAACTTCCTCATAATGTGTTGCTAAAATTGTTTCATAAAGTGAACATCTTTGTCACTTACAATTGATGTCGACACACCATATAATAAAATCCACGAATCAAAGAAGAAACCTTCTATTAACTATGGTGCTATCTCCAACTCTTTTTTGAAGTCTTTTGGAAATATCATCATTACTGTAAACCTCGTGATTTTTTTGAACTTGTCAATCATGACTAAAATGGCATTGGCTTCACCACACTCTTGTAAGCCCATTATAAAATCCAAAGATATGTCTCTATACGATAAAGACAAAAGAGGTAACAGTTCTAATAGACCTACCTTAGCTTGTGTTGAGTACTTATTTTTCTAGCACAACAAGCAACTTCTTATGTATTGCTCTACGTCTTCTCTTAAGGAAAGCCAATAGTAAGATTGCGCCATGTCTTTCGTTGCGGTCTTCACTCTCCTATGTCCTAAGCGTAGAGCATTATGTATTTCAAACATCACCTTCGTTCTCTACTTGCTTTTTGAGATATAGAGCCACGTTTGTTTTAACTAGATAAGTCCATCCTTTATTGCAGAGACTCCAATAAGTCTCTTTTGCTTCCTTGTAGATTTGGTCACAGCAAATGCTTTCTTAATTTCTAATGCATTATTATCTATCTTGTATGCTTCCTTCATACCTTTGATGAGGAGAGAGTCATCATAATAGACAATAGTACTAAGCATCATTATATCATGAAACTTTTTTTTTATAAACTCCGCTCTTCTACTTAGCATGTCTCGCACTAAGTTATCCTTATCTAATTTGTGAATCAGTTCAACATCCATCGAGACAATCACATCATATCATCTCAATTTTTTTGGAGATGTTTGCATCTTTGAAGTAAAATACTTGAGAGAGATGTTATCAATATAGACCTTCGTCTTCCTACCACCTAAGTATTGTCTCTAAGCCTTTAAGCAATGCACCATTGTAAACAATTCTTTCTCATGCGTCGGCCATCTTAGTTGGCTTTTGCTTGGTTTCTTACTTTGAAACACCACAAGTCTTTTTTCTTGCATTAAGACCCTATCAATAGCAAAATCGCTCACCCTCATATGGATCTCAAAATCTTTATCAAATTATACATAATACAACACTGAATTAGAAATCAATACTTTTTTAATTACTTGAAAAGACTTTTTACAACTCGAGTCCCATCTTATGGATGTGCCATCCTTCTTTAAGAGGCTCGTCAGAGGTCCAATGATCTTTGAGAAGTTTCTTATGAACTTTTGACAATAATTCACCAACCCCAAGAAAGACCTTATGCCTTTTTGAGTCTTCGGTACCTTCCAAGTCTAGATTGTTTGGATTTTCTTTGACTCCAGCTATATCCCTTTGCTATTGATGATGTGTCCAAAAAACTCCAACTCCTCTAGATAAAATATGCTCTTTTTTTTCTTGGCATATAATTGATTCTCTTGCAACTTGGTCAACACAATTTGTAAGTGTCTCTCATAATCTACTTCACTCTTAGAAAACACCAAAATGTCACTAATATATATAACCACAAATTCATCACTTTCTTTGTAAAAAATGGAGTTCATTAGTATGATAAAGGTTGCTAGAGCATTACATAATCCAAAAGATATTATGACAAATTCATAAGAATCATACTTGATTCTACACGTTGTATTCTCAACGTCTTTTTGAGCAATCTTTATTTGGTACTATCCACTCTTAAGATCAATCTTACTAAACCATTTACTTCTGCTTAGCCTATCCAACAAGTCATCAACTCATGGCAATGGATAGTTATTTTTTACAGTGATCTCATTCAAGACTTGATAATTGATATACATCCTCATTTTGCCATCATTTTTTCTCACAAAGAGGATTGGGTCTCTAAATAGAGATTCACTTGGTATGATGTATCATTTTTCCAGCAACTCATTTAATTGTTCTTTGAGCTCCTTCAACTTGAACTAGATTAATCGATTAGGTGCCTT